CGACTCGCGCGTAGATGTCCCGGAACAGGCTCTCCATGCAGGCCGTCAGGTAGATGGCGGCGTGCTCGTGGATGCGCAGCGCCACGCGGCTGTCCACCATCCAGTCCGAGCCGCCGCCGCTGGAATGCACCCGGCAGACCCCGGAGTCATCTTCCAGAGTCCGGGCCGGAGCTGGGCGCACCGAAGAGCGGGCCCCCGGGACTCGCCCCTTCCTTCCAAAATAAAATAAAAAGTATCTGACCTTCTCCTTCCTGGGCCCGGCCGGGTGCACAAGCCTCCGGGCGCCGCCTCAGTGTTCGTAAGACGGAAATCAACTCGGATGCCGCCGCCGCAGAAGCAGCTCCGGCGGCAGCTGGCTGCCAGCTCCGGGCTCCGGGCTCCCGGCTCCCAGGTCCCCGCGCGGGGATCTCTCGGCGCCCGCCCGCCCTGCACTGAAGCGCAGCAGCGACCGCGGCGGCTGAACACCCTGCCCAAATCCCGCAAACCCTGGGCAGCCTGCGGGGCGGGCGTATGTAAAGCAGGACCCGAGGAGAGCCAATGGTATCAGAGGATGCTAATTACCTCGCCTTTCTTTTTTTTTTTTTTTTAATTCTTCAGCTCCACGCATCCCCGCCCCTCACACACGCCCCCTGGCTGTAATCAAGGCTACAGGAAGCGGGGAGCAGCCGCCTGAGAATTGGGGGGGCTTGTGAGAGCTTAGGGACGCAGAAGTCCCTGCTGCTGTCCCTGCCCCTCAGACTTCCAGCTTTGGTACCAGATCGGGAAGGTGGTAGGTTGGACAGGTGATTCCGCCCTCACCGAGGTGCTCCCCTTGGCTGTTCATACAGTGTCTGCCTGGGGTCGCTGGGCCTGCCGCCGCGTTTCAGATTTCACTTCCTTTTTTCTTTACTACACGGAGCACGTTTTTTTTTTCTGCCTCTCTTCTCTCCCTCACCTTCGGGTACCCAAACCAATGAAGGTGGCCCTCTTTCAGCCCATTTGCCCCAGTGGAGATAAGAAACCAGGCGAGCTGAGGGACCAGAGAGATGAGACCACTGGAAGGCCGAATCTCTGGACTGTAGCCGCCTGCCACCAGGGCACATTAACTAGGTACCTTTCAGTAGCCAAGAGGACCCTGCGCCCATCCTTCAAACCCTGGAGTCGGGGAGGGGGCTCATGTCCCACTTTGCTGTCCTGGTGGGTATGGTTCCAGGCAGTTCAGACTTAAAAAAGGTAAATTTGCACCGAGGGGAGTTTACTGCTTGACTAGAGAAAGAAACAACATATATGCGTGACTTGGCTGCATGTATGTCAAATGGCATCGTCTTGTTTGTCTCCACCCACCAGGCCAGAAACCATATCTTCTTTCCCTGGGTACTCCCAGCTCCCACACAACATCCGCCTGGAATAGGACACCCTCTTCCTCTGACTGGCTAGATTTTTCAGCGTAGAAGTCCCCTCCTGTGGCAAGGTAGCCCAGATCCTTCAATGCTGGCTTGGGTGCTTGGACTGACACCCCCCCCCCACACACACACACACCTCATGCCTTCTGTGACTGTTGGTTTGAGATTTCTAACTTGCACATTGGACTAGGGGTTCCCCATGCATAAGCCCTCAGTAAATATGTGTTGTTTATGGGTGGATGAAGGAAGGACACACTTTTGAACTGTTGGTTTGATGGTTCAACAGTAGACTTTCCCAGATAACCCAGTAGATTGTCTGATGTTTCTCATATCTGTCAACACAAATCCACCATCACCCCTCCCTTCACATCAATGAACCACTCTCACCCTGTAGCTACCATCCAAATCTATATCTCATCATCTCTCATTTTGACTATTATTATGTTCTACTAACTGATTTCCTTCTCTCTTGCCTCCTCTTTCTCTAAACCACCCAGCCCAAGAATCTTCCAAAAGCACAGTTCTGATCTTGTAATTCCTCTCAAGAACAACTTAAGAGGCTCCCCCTTGCCCTCTAGATCAGTGGTTCTCAACCTTGGCTGCACATTAGAATCACCTGGGAATCTTTTTGTTACTAATGTTGTGGCCCCACCCCATAACAAAGAAACAGAATTTCCGGAGGATGAGGCCCAGAAGTCAGGATTTTAAAAAGATTCCCAGGTGATTCTAATGTGCAGCCAAGGTTGAGAACCACTGCTCTAGATAAATGAAGTTTGTACTGATTAGCTGACCTTCACTGATCTCTTTACTCTGTTCCCAGATTCGCTTTCTGTAATATTCCAAGCCTTTCAGAAGGGATTGTGATGGTTAATTTTATGTGTTAATTTGAGTGGGCTGTCTACTAGTAAACATGGTTTCTGGATATGTCTCTGAGGGTCTTTCCATAAGAGTTAGCATTTGAACCTGTGGACTCAGAAGATTGCGCTCCCCCGCGTGTTTTTTCCCAGCACTGATTCAGCTGGGACATCTTGTCTCATCTCCAGCCCTTAGATTGGAATTGACATCATCTGCTCCCCTGATTCTCAGATGCTCAGGCTTGAACTAAATGACACCACCAGCTTTTCTGGGTCTCCAGCTTGCAAACGTCAATTTAGGGGGCTTCTCAGCCTCTATACTACCACGAGCCAATTACTCATAATAAAACTATTTTTTTTCTGTTTTTCCAGAGAACCAGAACCAATAGGATATGATATATATCTGGAAACACATCTAATACAGACAGTCTTATGATCTGAACCTTGCCTTCCTTTGTAGCCTCTCCATCATCACATAGACACACAGACACGGATATATTCACACACTACACAGACACATGCACACGTGTTAATAAACACAGACACTCGGATATACTCACAGACCTACACAGGTACCTGCACACCCATGAATGAACACACACACACACACACACACACACACACACCCTGCGCTCTAGCTATCCTGAAATCATTGCTGGTTTTCCATGTTACCACGTTGTCCTTGTATCTTACACGCCTTTGCAGATATTGTTCCCTTTGCTCAGGACACTTGTCTTCCTCTTCTCCTCTTGGCGAAGTTCTCATCTCTATGGTTCAGCCTCAAGATTATCAACCCCTGTGAAGGTTTTCTCGATGCTGCCTGCTCTTCACCCAGCCCAGCCCTGTAGACACCTGGGAAGGTGTCTCCATCTCTGTAGCTCAGGGTTTGTTCCCGGGACCTTTTCTCTTCTCTGCATATTTCCCTGTGAGCTCATCCACTCCTGTGCCTTCACTTACCACCTATGTGCTGATAATGCAAGCAGCAAGAGAACCCTGGACAAGCCTTGTGCATAGGGAAAAAAGAGGCTGGGAAGCAACAGGGCTTATTGCAGGTTTATTTTCTTCTGGTGGCACCAGGTCCACTTGGGTTCCAGGAGTGCCTCTGTCAGTTTCTGATGATGGACCCAGTGTTCATTCAATCTCCTTTATCCTTCCTTTTCTTGCACTGGAGTGCACAAAATAATCACCCCCATGGGGGTGGGGTTAAATGAGATGTTTCCATATACAGGATTTAACAGTGTCCCACACATGATAATAACCCTTTAAGTGTCTGTTACCATCATCCACATTTCCCTATTTTCTATTATAAAGTTATTTCTTAGAGACTCAGGGGAAAAAAATGACAGATGTTACATATAAATTCAACTTCTGCTTCAAGGTTGGGCTGCAATGCTACCTCCTCTAGGAGGATTTTCCATGTCAGTAGACCTGCTGTTCCCTTTCATGCCACAGATGCTTTGCACGTGTCTTCTCTCACCTTCCGGAAGGCACACTCCTTGTAAGCTGGGATCTTGCCCCCAATATAGCACCAGGACTAATGAGCATGTTCCTTAGTATTATGAATAACCAAAGTGGATGTCCATTTAGTTCACTGAAGGAAATCATTAATGCCCTGGCCAGTTGCTCAGTGGTTAGAGTGTCAGCCCGAGGACTGAATGAAGGGTTGTGGGTTTGATTCCTGATCAAAAGCATCTACTTTGGTTGCAGGCTAAATACCCAGCCCCAGTGAGGTGGGCGTTGGGGAGGCAACCAATCAATGTCTCTCTCTCTCTCTCTCTCTCTCTCTCTCTCTCTTTCTCTTTTTCTCCCCCGCCCTCACTTCCCCTCCTTCCCTTCCACTCTCAAAATAAATAAATGGAAAAAAATATCCCCAGGTAAGGATTTAAGAAAAGAATGAAATCATTAACGATAATGTTAAGTGTCTGAGTCTGAGTGACCTGAAAAAACACTGAAGATAGCAAACAAATCAGTCAAGTGTTAAATATTAGCCCCATGCTATTAGAGAACTCAGTGTCTCAAAGAATGAAAAAGGGCATTTAAATCATCCAAAATTCCACCTCACAGAAGTCATCAACATGAACATCTTCATTCTTTTCCTCTAGTCTTCCTAATTTGCCCATCTTTTTTCTTCCAAGCATACATATTTTAAGAGATAGAGTTATTCTGCACGTTATTTTGCATTTTAATTGTTTCCTCAAGAAATTTCCTAAAACTTGATAGTATAATCATTCCCCATGCTACTAAATATTCACCCAAAATACTCTTGTCTGTGTGGCTGCAAAATATTCCAAGATATGTTTATATCTTAACTGGAGAATTTTGAATCCCCATTTGGTTGTTTCTGTTTTCAAATTGCCATAATAATGCTGAGATGGCCCTCTTTGTGCATAAATAACTCTTTTCTTCAAAACCAGAAGTCTTATGTGTGTTATCCTCTAAGAAATACAGACACACAATAAGCATATACTAAAGATTTAAAAAGAAACAAAAAGGGAAATTAAATTACTGGGATTATTTTGCCTATCAGATTAGCAAAGATTTGTAAAGTCATCATGATGAATATGTGTCACGATGAAGCATAAATTGAGGCAGTCTTTTTAGAGGCCAGTTTGCCAATATGTATCAAAATGTCAGTGTGTGTTCGTTCCTTATGATTTCCCAGAAATCACATCTTCTGATATTATCCAGGGTGATCCTTGTGAATTTTTTCAAAAGTATACAGGATGTTCTTGGTAGTGTTGTTTTAACACAGGACTATGGGAAACAACCTCAGTGCCTTTCAATAGGCCTGATGAGATGAATTACAGTAATCCATCCACAGGAATACGAAGCAGGGGCAAAGAGTAATGGTGGTGATCTTTCCTTCCACGACATATTGATTAGGGAAGAAATGTTTGAAAAGAGATTTGGGAATTGCACATATAATATGATCCCATTTATGTAAAATGCTTTACGTGGAGGTAAATATGTATACAGCTGTGCCTCGATTTATTGCCCTTTGCACTATTGCGCTTTACAGATGTTGCACAACCCTCCACCAGTAAAAAAAAAATCATGACTTGCTTTATTGCAGTGGTCTGGGAGCAAACCCACAATGTCTCTGAGGTATGCCTGTCTAAGCGTGTGAACTTGCCTGAAATGATGAAAATAATAGCTATAACTAGTTTGTTGGATTTCTGGTGATTTTTGAATGAGTTTTATTGATCCTCATTCTATCCCTGAAGTCTTTTGTGTTCTGGTGATTTTTAATTTTCTTCTTTGTACTTCTGAACTTTTAATGATAAACA